ATCTTCTATCTACTTAAGGGGGACAATAAGTGTGCGATACCGCCACTGCATTCCTATTTGTTGTATAACTTTCGTCTCCAGTTGTGGAAGTAGGAAGCATCGCCCTCGATGAGTGGGCATAGCATGCTGGACTGGAACTGACATGACGCTCTGCTTTGCTTCGGCCTACGGGACTATGTATTTCCCTTTTTATTTGGTGGTCTCCTTATTAAAGCTGAATATCAGGATAAAGGGTACACTTGTTATGGGGTTACTGGGGAACCTAGTATGAGCTAGAGTCTAGACTCCGTAAAGGGGAGTTATATCGGGGATTATAGAGGGGAATATTGTAGGGGTTATTGAGGGGATGCTAGGGGTTTAGATTATAGCTCATGTATAGGTTATTTAATTTAGGGGTTTATGGAGTTTGCAGATATAATTGAGAATAAGATGGAAAAGGAAGGGGACAATGACATGGAGAGTGGGAAAAAAGAGTGGTCGATACGGATAGTGATCCATATTTTGGTCCATGGGTAGGGGTTTGGGGTTTAGGGCTGGGGTACCTCAAACAGACCCCAAAATAATATTGGTACGTATTCAGGTCCCTATATTAAAGTTGCTAAGCAAACTTCATCAAGCGAACCAGCCCCTAAATCCCAAAATGAGACTGAACACATCAATTACTGGCCTGCCAGCCTCATTTTACAAACTAGCCTTAAACCCTTGCCGCCCATGCTTGTTGCTAAGCAAGCTTTGCAATTTGTGGACAATGTTCTCTTTGCTTTCTAGAACCTACAGCTCTGGGTAAAGCTGCAGCCAATATCTCAGAAACGCAAAGAAGATGTGTTACCTGGCCCCGTCACAAGATTCAAATATCGTACCTTGGATGTGCTGAAGCTGACAGCAGCCTGTCACACATGCAAACGCCCTAGTCTTCAAAACGAAGAAAGGTGGGCCGTCTCACCCAGACAAGGGAAAGCCTGGCGCTCTTGCGCGCAGAGCATGACAAAATGCTGAGGCCAACCGTCAACGTACATCCCTCATAAGCCCTCCTAAGCGCACTCCATATGAGGTTGGATGTTAGTTTGGAGAGGGTAAAACCCCAAACCCTCAACCCTAAACCCTAAAACCCTCGATAAACCCTCAACCCTAAAACCCTCACCATGAACCTTTAACCCTTAAAAAATGAACCCTAAACCCTGGACCAGGCCGAGACTTTCTTGCGGCGAGGTTTCGATGCCGCTGCCACCTGGATCCGCAGGGAGATGGGTCTGGTGTCGTTGAGCTGGCAACACTGTGAGAGTTTAGGGTTTAGGGGAGTTCTTCAAAGTCATCTCCCATGTAGAGGCCTGAGTAGTGACCTATTATTACTTGTAACCTTTTATTGCCCTAATCCCTAAACCCTACATCC